AGATTAGATTTACTTATTTAAACATTCATCTTATTCATCCACAACAAGCATGAACACACACTGACTCCTCAAGTCAATTTATAGCCCCCAATACGTGTTTTGTACTTTGTGAAAGGAAGTTAGATAACCAGGAGAAAAAGCACATGCACACTCTGGAAAACCATGCAAACTCCACAGAGACAGGCTAATGTCAGGATTAAACTGGGGACCACTTTAGTGTAAGGAAAATAAACTAATTATTACATTGATAATAATAAATGTATTATAATTATCATTTGGAATACAAATACTGTATTGAGACAGATTGTGTATTCCAGGAACTGCATGGTCCACTTAATATACAATATTAAACTTATTAAACAATGGGTAAATAAGATATTTACAAAATCCCTTCACATCAAATTGAATTATCCTTGTTTAACTTCGTCAATAGTTTTATTTAATTAGATCTTTCATTCAATAAACGCAGTCATCTAATAAATTCAAATAATTTTGTGGTATTTCACATGTAGGCCTTCAGTGATGGTTTCCAAGGCCTTCAATCCACCCCACGATAACCATTTTATGGCTATAAAGACCGTCTAATTATGCAAAAATGTTTTTATATTATTGATGAAGACTTCAATTGCCCATTGTACAAATTATTTTTGTGTTTTAGTACCATCAAAAACTTATTTTCTATCGCCTTCAATCTAATTGTCAAAGAAGATCTGGCTGTGGCATCATTTTAATTCACTTTAAGTTTGACACAAACAGTGGACACAGTGATGCTCACCAGCAAACACAGCAATACAATTTGTTGTCTGAGCCTGTGAGCCAGGGGTACCGCTCATAGTCGGTGGGCTAAAAATTTCCCACACGTGAAAGCCTTGTAGCTTCTGAGTTACCCGACCTCTCTCAACAACGTCCATCTTTTGTTGAAAATTCCCTCTTAAAAATGGCTTTGGCGATAAAACCACCAAATCTTCCTTTAGCCATTGGGGATTGACAAAACAGCTTTTATTTTTATTTTTATTTTGCTTATGGAGCCTGTAACAAAAATAATTTCCCTCTGGGATTATTAAAGTATTTCTGATTCTGATTCTGATTCTGATTCTGATTCTGATTTTAAGCCAACAAAACAAAAGCAGTTTGCTAGCTCTAATTAGTACGCTCTCTGACTGTCCAATCAAATGGTGTAAATACGCTGATGTTACCGTAGCCCAACTCAAAATTGAATTGGTTGAAGCAACAGTTTTATTTATATATAAACATTTTATATTACAGGGCCAATAGGAGTAATTTTAAAGGTCTCCAGGCATATTTCTTTCACCCGGGCAACAAATAACAGCTGAAGTGGAACTGGTTAAAGATCACAAAATTGACCAAACACAAGTTTATTTTAGATACTGTTGCCAGCTTGAGACAACAACACTGGATGTTAAAACTTGAGTAGAATGCCTTTTAACAAAGATGGATTGATCAATCCTTATGTATTAGAATAACCTAATAATCCTTGTTTAACAGTCTGGTTGAGATTGAATTTCAATTTAAAAGTTGAAGGTTCACACATGGTTTTAGATCTTTCCTGAATATTCTACCAATTCTGTTTCCAAAAGAAACAGATTTAACATTTATTGTTTGTAAATCAAAAATCAAAATATAAATTAAGGCAATTCAAATATCATTATATCCTAGGAAGTATGGTTGTAAAGAAAGAGAATATTGGTGAATCATTGTCATAAACCGAGTTAGATCTTTAGTCATTTAAAAAAAAAAAAAATAGATTAGCAACAGCAACTGCATTAAATCAGCAGTCAATCTCATGTTTCTAAATCTAACTTCATACATGTTGTATGATAAAAAACACAAATCATGTATCATACATATATCTGGCTCAAACTAAACGTAGGCAATTTGCAGAATAAAGCTAAATTTAATTATAAGAATAATTATAAGGCCATGTTATGCCCTCCATCTCCATAAAACTAGCATTTTACTTCAACGATAACATCACAATTTCTGAGATTATTGCTTCATTATAGAATAAAATTGTATTGTAGTTATTAAATTATAGAGGGCATTTTTATTATAACACAAAACAGAACAATACTAGAACTTCTATTTCAGTTCTTCTTCCCTATATACACAAGTTGTGGAGCAAAAGCATTTTAAAGTGTACAGACGTTAATGGCCCTCTTTATAGGAGATATGCACTTGTTTACTGGTCAGTTTGTGAGTGGATGTGTTCTCTTCTTTATGTCCAGTCAACACCCAGCTATGGAATTTCTGCAAAAGTAACCTCTGATTAAATTTAATGAGAACAGCAAACTATTGTGGTTACAACAAAGTAACCACGACAAAAAATAATAATCTAGAATAAAAAATGTAGAAAGTGATATCCCTGAGTGTTGTTGAACTGTAAATACGTAAAACTTGAGCAAAATGTTTTGATATTCTACATAAGTGAGCTGAATATGCCAAATGCATTCACAAATATTAATATTGAAAAAGTGCATACTTAAATACCAAGGTGTACGACAACAAAAAAACTCGACATGCAATTAGGCTTTTTTTTTTTTGCTCATAACAGTTTAATAATCCAAAGGCATTTCCAAAACGTTTGCTCTGCGCATACGCACAATAAAAAATAAAAAAAACTGTGATACATCGCCTGTCTGTAATGGTTTTAATGTGAAGTTTGGAGATAAGATGATGGACAATTCCAGAAAGACACACACACACACACGTACGCAAGCACGTACACAGCCCCACACTCCACAGCAGCAACATGTCTAGGACCATGTGTCTGTAAGCATGTGTGCATATGAGCGAGCCAGAAAGAGAGAGAGAGTGAGAGAAAGAGAGAGAGATAAAGAGAGAGAGTGAGCGCCTGACGTTGATGGTTTACAAATGCAGACAAATGATGGGCGAATGACAATTCCCGTAATCGTTCACCCTCAACCCCCACCCCACCCTCTGGCAATACATCAGCGTGTGTGTGTGAGTGCGCGTGTGTGTGTGTGTGTGCGTGCTATCCATCAAAGGAGAGTGGAAAGAGGGGGGAGTCCCGAGTGTCGCATCTGTTTGGGAGGGGATATAGAGGGAAAGACAGTTAGACAGCAGCAGAGAGAAAGAAACAGATTTAGTGGTACTCTCAGTCTCTGCAGCTCTTCTTTACTGAACTCTTTCAGGCTATTTCCGATATTTGTGGTTCCTGTATCTCTTTTGGAATCAGAATATTTTCCCCATCACTCTTTATGGATCATGGCGAACCAAACACAATTATCAGCCTGTGGTGAACTGAATGTTATATATGAGTCTGAATATCATACACATTTATATTTTGGTCACATTGTTTCCTAAACTGAAATCAGCTAAAGGTCCGTTTTGAGGAATAAGTATAATTCAAAAACCAAACGCACTGTAAAGTGAATGTAAATGTAATTTCAGAGAAGAAATTACACCTTGATTTCTCTGTTTTTGTAATTAGTGATGTTTGACAAAGAGGATGTAAGGCTGGAGCTAAAATTAAAGGTTGGAACACACGAGTCATTTCAAGTCAACATGAAATGCAAATGCTACATGACAGTCTTTGTCTTAACCCTTGTCACTCAGTCTTTCTGTTTGTCTGTATCTCTCTCTTTCTCCTCTCTTTCTCTCTGTCTGACACAGAGGAAGCAATAACAATCAACCCCCCCCCCCCTTATTTTTCCCTGACCCATCCCCTATCCCTTTATATGCCATCCCTCCAGCACCACCTTTTACCCATTTCTCCTCCTCTTATCTTTGTCCATCTAATTTTATGAGTGTCTGGGGAGTGTGCGTTTGTGTGTGTCATGGGAGGCGGTGTGTATGTTTGTGTGATGCTGCTGGGTGTGTGTGTGTGTGTGTGTGACTGGAAAATGGCTGCCTGTCACATTAGTGGTTGGATGGGCTAAAAAATCACTTGTGTAATCACATTTAGACGCAAGGCCCGGTCATGTTAACCACTTTATTCAGAGGTATGGATGGATTTAGGATGGCTGCAGAGATGGAATGATGAAAATGGGGGGAGAGGCCCAGACCACCTCCTGTTCTTATTACATGTATATTTTTGTCTCCATTTTTGTTGTTTAACATTTCTAAAACTCTTAGGATATTGTTTCTTTTCAGATTAATTCTGCTTTCACAGCGTTTTTGACTGCGAAAAAAGATTAAAGTTTTACCAGGAAATTCAACTAAAATTTAAAAACTACTGCCCTCGACTCAATAATTTACACTCACCCTGTGTTGACTAAATGGTTGGAGGCTTTTTCTATTTCGAATAAGTTATTTAAACGACCCGATGAAACCCATCAGGCTTCATCGATTTTGTCCCCTTTAGTTTTGAGATTATTAGAATGACTGATGTCGTTTTGGGTAAAAACAGATGTTTTACAGTGGATCAAACCATAAAACCAATCAGTGTTTTATATATCAAATTTAGAAAACATGCAATGATCCTCCCGTTAACTTTGACTTTTGATGTTTTCTTCAGTGTGCACCCAAATTGTTTCACGCTTATGTCTAATGAAAATCTTTAGATTGATAAAAATCCAGTTTTGACTTGCAGAACATAGTAAAAGGGATTGGTTAGTAAAAAAGGATTTAAAAAAAGCAATCAAACCAATCAAGAAGGACACATTTGCAGGTTATTTCTTACCGCTAATATTTATGTACTTTTTAAAGATGTTACTTTTGTTTTTTCTGGCTCATATATTTTATTGCTTCAGCTCAAACAAACTCTGCCCTGAACAAATAAGATCAGCTTTATTGTTTGTACATATGCTTCCCTCCCATTTCTCCTTATTCTTTGTCGTAGTAGTTGTTCTTTAAGATTTTCTGTGAAAAATGTCTGTCCAAAAATGAAATTGTAATATTCAAATTACATTTTACGATTAACGCAGACTTGCTAAGATTACTTTATTATTATTTCTGTTTATTTTTGCACCGCTACCTTCCTTGGCTCAGAGGCACATAAGATGTGGGTCAACTCTAACCTCCCGATGCTTCCTCTGCATTTTCACACTTGGCACTGATGCATGTAGAGGCTGAGCGCAGTGCATCAGTGATGGCTTAAGAGGCATGTGTGAAAAAGTATATTGACTACAAAATCAAATTAAAACAGTATTTAGCATTTTTGGCATTCTACAGTAGATGTCGAGAAGAGGCCATTCCTGTCGTCACACTCAAATCGAATAGAAAGTGAATGGTGAATAGATGTTGATGTATTCAAAAACAACCGATTTTACCTGTATTAATTCCACTTTTACCTTAAAAAGTCAGGTCAGCCTTAGGTTCAATTTAACAGAGTACTGAAACAAGGAGCAAGCGTTCATCAAAATGGCTCCAAAATTCGATTTAATTGTATTTCTGACGCAGACATTCATCTCTTTTTACTGATCATCTATGGCTGCTCTTGAGCTGGTAACACATAGAGTTAGCCTCAGAGTAAAGTGAAAAAGGCTGGGGGAAAGTCCTTAACTTTTGACTGGATCACCATAACACGTACCTCTCCATGCTAACTAAAGCAAGCCTTCTTTTGATTTAGCTTAGTACCATTTCAGATATTAAAATTACTACCGTCAAGCTTGCAAATGGAGTCCAGACAGGGTGTTTGTTTAGCAGGTTATTTTCCAGGTTTGGAGGTGTGTCTGGGTATGATGGATGTTTTGGGATACAGCCGCACATTGCTTCACCTGTGGGCATAATGATCCCATACAGGCAATGTTTCAACACAGCCAGTGGCATGTATCTACTTCTAAGGGGTTCCCCTCCCGAACAAATAAATATACAAAATGCTCAGATCATCAAATCGTCGCAACCGTGGCAAGTGAAATTACATGTAATGCAAAGTTGCACCAGCCGCGATCAGAATAAAACACGTAGAACATATGCTTCTGTCTTAAACTGTGCAGTCTTGTAAATCCTTCAGTCTCTGCCAGCCTCCAGTATCTGTCAGGACTGAATATGTAAGGAGACATGAAACCATAATCGCTAGGGACGCTGCTGGTTTCCTGTCCCTGTCACTCTGTCACACACGTTCCCTCTTGACTCTCTCTTTCCCTTTCTGGTAAACACAGACATGCTGTCACTCTCCTGCAGGTCAGGTCAGGGACACTGTTTTTATTTATTTATTTATTGCTCGACTGCTGTATTCGGCGTGATGTAGTGTTGGAAGGGTGATTCTTTAAGCTTCATGGTACTGTTAAAATCTTTAATGACATTTTCATTCTTTTTCTATAAGTATATTTTTGCTACAGTTGAAACTTATTGCAGCAATTGTCACCACTGTTCCAATCAACACATAAGAGTATGTTGTAAAAGAAAAAAAAAAGCCCTTTTCCACTTCCTAAAGTAACAAACTGTTGTTTAAGATCAACTACGTTATTCTTTTCATAATGTTAAATTCTTTTTAAAAACCATAGTGCCTTGGCTTCCCCCCACCCCATATTTATGAAGTATTTGTGCATATTGGGAGCAGTTCTCCCACCCGACTGTGACTAATTGATAACTGATGTTTACACCAGTTTCTTAAAATTTCAACCCTTTGGTCCTGTTCTTAGCCGGGGGCTAATAGCTATGCAAGAGCCTCGGCTTTGCTTACACTGAGGTTTCAAATCATCTAAAAGAATCTGGCATTGATCTAGGACAAGGTCAATATACCTCTTCTATGAGAATGCTCTATGTGTGTGTGTCTGTTTACATATATATAAATGTATGTGTACACATACTTATACATCTATAGTATTATATTCTAAATTCGATGTAACCAAATGCAAATTAATTGTATTTAATAATAATAATTAACCATTTGCATTACATAGCATGTGACATTTACACGATTTTGTCATGGACAACTGCAACCTGTTGATAGTCCATTTAATAGCTGCCATAACCACATTTAGAGGCTGCAGGTGAAGAGAAATACTAATCAGAGCAAAGCATGAATACATGCAGGCAAGAGAGGAGCTTATAACCATAAGGTGAAAGTAACACCAATGATCAGACTTCTCACAGGCCAGATTTTCTGCTCATCGCTTTAACTTTAATATTTATCTATTTGAAGGCTGATGTTAAAATTCCACCATGCTGATGAAATCCAGCCTGGTGAGGAGTATTTGACCAGGCACAGGATCCCAAAATCATTATAAACCTTCAGTGTGACTGTTCTGCATGCAAACCAAAGCAGAAAGCAGAGCAGATGTCGGGAGATGTGGCTCAAGACCAATATTATGTCTTATAATGAATGATTATGTCTGTCAACTTTAATGTTTAGCTAGCATAAAGGAAGTGACTGAATCCTTCTCAAAGGTTTCACTAATTTGAATTGTGTTATCGTCCTGCTCTCAAATCAGCTTCAACATTTTAAAACACTGTCAACGCAAGGAACAAACACTGTTACATTTTGAAGGAAAAGAACAGCGTTTCAAATTTTAGATTGAGATTTTCACCCATGAGCATTGTGGTAATTTAGTTCCAACTCACTTCAGAGGAAACAGTGTGCTGGTTTCTGGAATTATGGCCATTGTTGTCTACTTGTTAATGGAGCTGTGTATTCCCTTTGCATTACACATTATCCAACTCTTAACTCTACTTGACTTTGTCTTAAGATTTACATTATGCACTTTTGAACATTGACTGCGGCCAACCCTCCCTTTTCATCAAAGTATTGTTGTATTTGATGCTCAAGAAGAAAAAATAGACAAATATATAGTACAGTGACGATCAGTCTTTCAACAAAATGAAACACTGATGCAATAAAAGATTAAGATTTCAATTAAATCGAAGCACGAGTTCCAAGAGTTTTTTTGTTTTTAAAACTGAGGCCTGCTGTGCCTCCCCCTCCAGCACTCAAATGAAAAGACAGCTGGAGAGACTGACCTGGAACAAGGCTGGAGATCCACATGTCATCAGCCCCATGATTCTCAAAGCCTGCACGGAACAGGGAACTCTGTAGAACCTCCAGGTTCTACAGAGGACAGCTTCTATTTTTCCTATGGAAAGATTACTGTGTTTTTTTATTGACAGTACCTTAAGAAAATCTCTCCTGCTGATAACAGACAAGTTTCCCAGCCATCTCCTCAATCATGAAAGCTCCATAGAAAATCAATAGGGGCTCATCCATGTTTAGGATTCCTTCATCCACTTGCTTTAGGGGGTTCACTCTCATCAGGTGTAAAGCTTTTAACACCGTGATGATCATGTTCTTTGAGTTCTCGAGCGGTTTTAAGACATTTCAGGCTGCACTGTTGTGTCAGAAAGTCCGATTGATTGACAGACCGCAGTATGGGAGATGGCACAGGAGCTCCAGTCTTTGCTCTTTCTCTCTTTCCTCAAGTACATGTCAGACTCTTCTCAAGACAGTGATGATTTGGCGGTTCAGGGATGTATCAGCTATGAAGAAAAGAGCACAGAGTCTAGTCAATTAAGTTGTGGTTCATTTTTAATGTAACCAGACAAAGATTATTGTAGATTTTCATTACACTATAATCTATTTCCATCTGGAAGGACGGAGATTAAATGATAAAGGTGAATATAATACTCCCTTGTAAAGTAAACTAAACTAGAAGTGCAACTTTGACCATATTCAAGAGGAGATGGAGCAGATTTTGCTCCTCCCCTTTCTTTAAAATATTAGAATTCTTTAACTTTTATGTCCTGTTAAAGACTTCTTGGAATAGGTTAAGCTACTTGCTCACACGGTTAAAGTAATAATATTTTTTATGACTTTTTCGTCCCAGTGAAAGTACAAACTCTTTTATCTCTCTGGGTTATATAAAGTCAAACACCTTGTTGAAAAGTTTCAGCTGAAAAAAAAGAGGGCCAATGTTGCCTCAGATAGGGTCTGCTGCCTTTCTCAATACCCCTGCCACCACACTCAGAGAAAACCACCACTTTCAAGTCTTTGTAAGTATATTTTTTGTGCCCTCAGTGCACTGTGTACTAAGAGAAGCAGGTCTTCAGGGGCAGGTTTGGACCCAAGACTCATTTTAATGTATGTAAAAGCCATGGCTCACTGGAGAGCCTGTGGAAAGGACTGATCGCCCAGAGGGACGTGTCAGAGAACAGTGTGTGTGTCAAAGATGAGAAAGGCAGTGGTCGAGGGTTTTGGACATGCACCAGTGGTCTGCTTGCAACTACAATTTCAGTCACTGACACTTCATACAGCATTCATACATACACACATACACACCAACTAACCCTGTGGTCAACCGGATTTGCATATGACTGTCCACTATTGACTCCGAAAACAGTCCATAGCAGCCGTTCTACAATCCACCTTCCATATATTCAGTAAACAGATCCCTCTGAGTAATTAGTGGACCATGTAAAGGTTGGGACTTCAATCGATTTTATCAGTTTTTAACTTTGCTCAAACATTACTCACTAGGTCACCTCTAGAACGGCCTCCCTCGGCCTCTGCTTATAAACCAGCATATTTATAATTGATTTGCTTCCCAAAAAGAATAATACACCCTTTGGCCTCAAATAGTTCTTAAATACCTCATTCCAATGGGGGAACATAAAGAAAAAGTGGAGTTTGATCTTAAGCTTGACAATTAGATCATGGCAGTTGTCAAACTAACTTTATTCGGCTATAATAAAAAAATTAAAAAAATTATGACAGAGATCTTGGCCTTTATCAATTCTCAACTGCAGTAGTATATTGCACTCCGTATGGGGGTAGGTCCCTCACCCATCTGTGATGGCTAAGAATGCCGTTGCACGTCTTTTAAAAACCCCATTTTAGCCTTACTCTGTATATTTTAGAATCTATTTTAAGAGAAATTGCAGTTTGTGACAAATTAATATTCTTATTTGTAAATTGTATTCCTCAAAGTCAAGATTGTCTTTTTTATTTCAATAATCCTATTTATGTATTTACCTAAATTCCAAAATAAGTTACTTGAATTTTTTTTTATTTTGTCTAAAATACCGTTCCAATCTACTTGTGTAATCTAAGTGATCATTGAGTGTTAAATCCCTAATGTTAAATCCTCTTCTAGCAGTCAAGGTAAGGTAAATGTGTAATTGGTGTTGTAGTTGAATATTAAATCATCTTTTTGTGTGGATAAAAGCGTTAATGCATGAATGTAAGAAATCACTTTATAAATACATCTAATAATTATGACAGTATGAAGCCTATCATATGAATATGCATGTGTGAGATGAGAATGTTTAAAGGAGAAACAATTTGAGCTATCAATCATATTGTGAACATCAGTGTTAGTTCATACCCTGGTGCCAAAATATGCTGCTATGGGCAGACTAAAAAGGACAAGGGGCTGTCTTTTTATAATTTAAAAATCATAAGATGACATACCCAACTCAAACAGGCAGGTATGGGATAACAGTCACATCAGAATTTTGTCTATAGGGTCATCAGTTCTTATTTTAATCAGGTTTATTTTTTAATCTAAAGATGAAAAAGTAACAGGGGAAATCACAGCACTAAACCTCCAGCTAGCAGGTGACCGTTACATTACCTGAACCACAGAGAAAAAAAAAAAAAAAAAGAACCATCAAGTGTATTTTCCATAAACAATGTGACACAGGACATAATTAAGCTGTTAGGAAGTTTTTTTCATCCTCCACCATTATTCAGTCATGTAAGTCACAAATAAACAGTTGCCAGGGTGTAAAATTATTACCTGTCAGTTGAAGAGAATCATCGGCGGTTAAGAAAACAATAACCCAAAAATAATATGCTGAAAAGAAGAGGCATTGAATGCACTGACAGCTATGTCTGGCCAAAATGGCACAGATAAAATTCATGGATACTTTAAAAACACTTAAATGACACATATATTACTATGATTGTGGCCTTGGTTTACAAAAACTTTTATATTTCAAGATTTCTTTCATCCGACTCCTCATAAACATGTTCTTACATATCATACATTGCAATCAATTTCTCAAGCTATCGCCACAATGTATTACTCAGTTTCTCTCCACTTCACTGGGAACTTTCTAAGAAGCTCCTTGCATTGCTGCACTGGGGTTAGCCAAAGGTTAAAACACTCATAAATATTTTACCTGCCCATCCAGCGGAAGAAAAAAAAAATCGCTGTACTTGTCTGGTGTGCTGTGCTCACAAGAAGCACTGGGGGAGAAAGAGACGGGCCCAACACATTACATGTTCCTATCTGTGGGACGTTCAGGAGTACGATTCGGAAAATTAAAGAAATGTGGGATGTTTGCTATTAATTTGCACGAAAATATATGTTCCCTAGACAAATAGAATAAACTGGAGGTCAATTAAACATCCAATATATTTAAGTAATTTTAGTAAAGAACTTGTATACCGGCAGATGTCTTCTAAATATGAGTTTCTTATTAGAATTGAAGATAAGTATAGATGGAAAATACACAGATATTGAGTAATACCTGCGCTAACGGGTAAGAGAGTGGTGGAAATATTGTGTGAGTGTGAGCGTGTGTGTGTGTGTGTGTGTGTGTGTGCATGTGTGTAAAGCACTTGCCCTCACAAGTGCTGGGGCAGCTCCAGTGAGTCACATTGCCATGTATACTTCTCATTTAACATTTACAAGCCTTCTGCTCTCCCTCTCAGTCTCTCTGTGCTGCCAGCACATTACCCATGCTCCACTGCTTTCCCCGCTCTCCATCTTCTGTTTGTCTTTGCTTATCACTACTTCTCTGCCACGAGCGCGTGGTTGCTTTCCTTTTCATATCCAGCTGGCCTCTGTGTCGTTTCATCACCTTGCGTCGCTTTTTCTTTTCGGGGGGAGTCGTTTTTGTTTCCCTTTGCCCTACTCGATATTTTATATTTCATTATGGTTCAATTCTATTTCCTATCCAACATTGCTGTTTCCCTTCACCTGACTTACCTTTTATTCACGTTGACCCACATCTCCATTTTGTCTCTGCGTAACTTAAAGGCTGTGCTCTTTATTATTCCTATTTGCTTACCTCTTGTCTCTTCTTTTTCATTGTGTGTGTGTATATGCTGTTTTGCCCCTCAGCATATCTACTTAAATAGAATACATCAGGGCTGTTAAATTGAATTGAAGTGCAGGTGTTTATTTGCTAATATGTCAAGTTATTATTTATATTTTTCTTTTTCACCCAGAAGATATTAGCATTTAAAAACAAACTCTTCTCATTTTCTGTTTTTGTGCTGTAGTATAGATTCCAACGGGGGAAAAAATCTTGCTTGATAGCTAATGTTTGTTCAAAGAGTAGTTGTCAAAGGACAACGCATAAGTACAAAACATGTCACTAATGCAGACTCCGTAGTACTGTCAGGTGTCAAAATTAAAGATGTTCATACAATTTAAAGTTAAATATTATTTGCCAAGGATTAATAGATAAACACCAGATGCATTTTTCTTAATAACGCAGTTTACAGCTGCACTGATATTAATCCAGAAATAAAAAATCCTTCTGTAAACCCAAAGCTGCAAACTGAACAAGTTCTAATTTACAGAAATAAAAACTCTTATACAACAGAAAACTCTTAGCATGGGTTTTTAAATAGGTTCCGTAAACTGTGACCTTGGTTTCAACGAGGCAGGCATGATAGATGGAATAATATGAATAAGATGGACTCAGTCAAATAAGTCTCAACTGTAACATTACAACACAGACTGCTTATTCTCAAAATCAAACTCAACTATTCTATTATCCCTGCTCACATATAGAGAGAGTCATCTTAATTTACAAGTATTTAACAGCAGAAATACTAATAACTTCCAAAACTTAAACTTCTCCCAAAAGAGCAAACAGAATAAAGTGCTTCCTCTTTAAACAACCATGAAACGGTAGTTCCCTCTGACCTGAGAAATGGTTATTTGTCTTCAACAGTGGCTTTAATAACAGTGTCAGAGGCTAGTTATCTAACAACAATGCAAATATGGTTCAAATGGACTGCCAAAAGTCAAGGATTGTCAGGAATTTACAAGTTTATGCCAAAGTTTTGAGAAGTTTTTACCAACGCAGCTCAACATTTTGTCAACAACCAGTAGCGAGCCTCCCTCTGTTTCTTCAGAGACCACAGAGCGGTAGTCTCTGGGGGAAAGAAAGTGTCAGGAGTCAAGCCTGCTATTGTTTGCCGGCCATAAAAACAGAAAATAATTCATGCCAAACTCTTTGCAGAATGCAGAAGGATGCACATTTCCACAGAAGGTCGAAGAACTGAGTTAGAGACTCAGTTTTTCTTTAAAAACTGGAAAGACAAGTCGACACGCCTGTTCACTATACGCATCAAATCCTGTCTACTTTTATCTCTGGGAAAAACAACATATTTTCAGTAACTTATTTCAACTGTTCCCAAAGTAAAATATTTGAATTACCCTATCAGTTAGACAAGGATTTCAGATGAACTGAGCTTACCACACATACTCTTTTCTACTTCTGCTAACTCATTTATTATTGCAGTCTCATTTTTTTATTGCAGTCAATCAAATGCAAACAAAGCATTTTTATGACAGATATAACATTCTCTTCCCACTTATTTGTCATTATTGTAAACCGATTACAACAATCAGAACAACATAATTCATTTGTATCAGTGTCATAATGCTACTAGCAATCCTTAAAACACAACATAAAAAAGACAGGGGTCCCACATTTTTTACTCCAGGCTTTTGAGTAAAGAACTGAAATATAGGGAGTTCGATTTTATGTTAACACAAAAATTCCAAATAACTTGGAAAATGGATAGCATGTCTCAATCAAGAAACATCTGATTCAGAAAGATTATCACAGAGAAACAACCTTAATTTAAAGTGAAACGATGTTCCCTTTTTCCCCTCATCTTTTTAAACATTTGTGTGGGTTGATAAGGAATTTTCAAAGGTTTCTAGGTTATTAAGCTTTACCCAAACACAGGTCCATTTCACAATCTGTGCATAAACTGTGTAGAGTAGAGAGTAGAAAGCATGGTTTGTTTACCTCTTGAATTTATGTGTAATAAGGTATGGTCCACTCTTGCAGTGAACACATCTATTTTCAAAACTGTCTTTGATGACCTCTGGCAGATCTTCGCACAGCCCAAAACAGAAACATTATGGAAAGGAAAAGCTTAATCTCAGGGGCTCTATGATTTTTCAGAGCTGTGTGTAGCTCACTCAAGAGAATCGGCTGTTTTCACACCTATGCTGGAGTCGTAACATGTTCTTGTGCTATTGGAAAGCATTGGTATGTTTTAAAATCAAATTAATTTTGCAACCCTCCACTACCACGATCAGTTCCCACACAGATTATTAGGGGGAGAAACAATAAATATATGCTGTAGTAAAGCTTTTGCAACGCCTGCTGATTATGTGCAAAGGAGGTTGCTTTGCAACAGTTGTTGCTTAAGTACCCATTGTGTTGTTTTCCCCTCAACCCATTGTTAATGTGAATATGTTAAGGCACATGCAGTAGTAATACCATAAGTACAGTAAACATTACGTGTGCTCGAGACAAAATTTAACCCCTCACTGCCTTTGCTATTGCATTTAAGAATTGAAGTATATTTTTCCTGCAGTAAGGTACCAGTGCTAACAGCTATGGGGAAAGTCTGAACCACAAAGTCCACACATTCTTCTAAAAATCTAAGCTTTGTGTAAGCATTTAGTGTGGGGATCCAAGCTTACCACTTCCTAAACTGTGTGAGACTTGGATGAAAGTAAGTTCTCCAGTAAAGATCTCAATGCAAGGCAAGGCAAGTTTATTTGTAAAGCACATTTCGTGTACAAGACAATTCACAGTGCTCCACAAGGAATTTAAAAGCAGAAAAAATACAAACTGGATGGACAATTCCACATCTCAGAAATTATATATCATCATGCCTTTGCAAGAGCAAATGGAGGAAACAATTTTTTCCATTTCCCTCTCTTAACAAAAGACGACATAGCATGAGGTGTACAATGTGCTGTTAAGCGCAATAGGCTGACATTTTGCTGACACGGAGGTGACCTTTCAGATTTGAGCGACTGTTAAAAACAGTCTCCTGTACAATCTATAGTTCTATAAGTTCTCTACCCATGTTCCTCACAAAATGAATTAAATCCTGGAGACACTGCAAACACATTCTTCCCGAAACTGTTGGAAACATTTCAGTTATGATGTATACTGCCTGGATATGTGCTTGTTTTAGCACTATGTGCCACTTGACCAATCATTTTCGCAATAAAACATTATTTCTAAGGTATAAAAAAAGAAGAATTACAACTTTTGCTCCAGCCTTTTTCATTTAAAGTTTAGATTACATAAACAGTTTGAAAGAGGTTAAGATCCAGCCATGGATGCAACAGGTTCAAGAGGGAAAGCCAGACATTTCTCTCCCCAGCAATACTTGCCAGCTCCTTCTAAGGGATCGGAAAGTGTTCCCAGGCAACATCTTGGAATGCCTGGGAACATGATGGGAGGGATTCATATTCAGAAGCATTTTCCAGGTCTACAAAAACTATGTAGACTGGATGGTCAACCTCCTGTGATCCCCTCAGTACCTATGCGAGGGTGAAGATCTGGTACACTGCTCCACAACTTGGCCAAAAACCATATTGCGAACTATGTCATTCGTTTTACAAATTGCCGGAGCCGCACCTGCTTAAGGAGGCTGAGTAGAGTGATTCCTCTCAGGTCCCCTATCGGGAAGATAGGGATCACCACCCCTGTCTGCCATCCCATTGCCAAGACTGTGGAATTTCACCTACAACCTTACTGTGAACAGAGCCTTTAGGATCTCAGGGCAAATCATGTATACTCCTGGTGTTTTACCACTGGGAAGCATTTTAGAAAGCTATGGTGACTTCTGTCATGGAAATGAGCAAATCTGCCTCCTCACTGGAGGTCACATTAGTTGAATTTAGGAAATCATCAAAGCTCTCCTCCCACTGCCTGACAATATCCTTAGTTCATGTAGCAGTTCTCCACCCAGGGAAAATGTATCCCATCCCTGCACTCCCTCTTTGAGCCATCAAATATTTTTTCCTGAACATCCTTGCGGCCAAACAAATTTTCCACGGTCTACTCCGAATATTCCTCTTATACCCCCGTTTGAATTTTGGCAACAACCAGTTTTTTTAGCCACCTGGTATCTGTCAGCTTCGTTAGGAGATCTCTAGGAAAAATTCCCAAAAGATGTGAGTTAAAAATCTGGAGGTCAGGGGACTCCACCAGACATTCCAAGTTCATCGTCACAACATGTTTGAGCTTACCGGGTCTGTCCAGCACTTTTAAACTAATACCCAACTCACTACCAGTTGGTGATCATTTGACAGCTCTCCCCCTCTTTTCAATAAATTCAGATCAGGAAGACCATTCCATCGCTTAGTCCCGGTAGAATTTGGGATGCCACCTAGAGATAACCACAAGCAACTCCTTTTTTATACTCTTTCTGCAGTAAGAACTTTAACCCCTTTGTCCGTGGTGGTTACTACTGTGTACAGCTAAAAAATATCATGTTTTTTTAATAAATGGGGTTTTATGTTTTGATGTGCATTCGCTACTGAAGTGAACACTGGTGCATCATGCAATAAAAATGTTGAAATGTCCAGAATACTATCCTGTTAAACAAGAGCTGATATAGACAAAAAAGGGGATAGCAGTCAATATAAGAATAAGATGAGAGTCAAATGCAAAGTTCTATGATTATGCATTTTGTTAACAAATGTCAAAATATGTTCACATTGCAATATAGAGTATTTAATAAGTAGTAAATCTTAAAACATGTAATGTCCACTTGAGTGGATATCTGGAAAAATCCTTGAATACGAACATTTTTGACCAAAAAAAAACAAAAAAACATGCCTTAAGATGTAGGCCATAACCTGTCAAAAAAGATAGATCAATCACATACAATATGGAAGTGTTAATTACGGAGATTACCTCCTTGAATAGAATGGTTGGCATTCTGCCTTAAATGCATATTGATGGTTTTTTTAGAAGTTGGAAAGCTGGAAAGAAAATAAATCTAGCTAAAAACCAGGCTGTGAAACTAAATCTAATGCACTGCACTTGATAACTCAGTGAATATAGTCTTAAGTTTTCCCTGTAGAACTTGGATTTTTTCATTTATGTGAGAAATATTTATTAGAAATGTGTTTGTCTAAAGATATGGCGATGCACACACTGATAGGAAAAGTAAAGGCCAAAGTGTGAGACAGCCAATAACCAAAGGCAAACTAAATATTTAATGGTGTATATCATGTTGAAAAGCTGATTTGACAAGGTTTAGCTGCCATTGATTATTTGAAGTAATGCGATGGTCATTGAAAAAACTCAGTTTACACCAAAAAATCTACAGTGTAGTCAGAGGATTGAGTATTTCACTCTTTTACAAAACAAACATCAAAATATATTTGGAAAAACAGATACAAATGTATGTCCTAACATTGGATATAAAAGAAATTCAACTAGCTGTCATACTATAGCAGAAGCGTTTTCAATAATTAACTTAGATCATATTCATGTCCACAAAAACTATTTTGCCACAACTTTTTAAGAATATTTTTTATTAATGCATAATTTAGTTCCTATAGTATGCAATTTATTTTAATGTAAAGCTATAAAATACGCTGTAAAACTAACAGGATTATTAGTCCTAAAGATGAGAACTTTTTACTTATCCCCAAGAAGTAGTGATTCAACCTAAACAATCCACTATAATTGACTATATCGAAAAAGGGCTTACATTTTCTTTATTATGTGTTTTATTTACATTTAACTGAGATGATAAGCTATGTGATTTCAATCTATTCAAAAGATAAAAATGAACATACATGTGAATAAAATTATTTAGAATGAAGACTACTAATCAGTGTAAGCATATGATCATATTAGTCACAGTCCTGTTTGATTTTGTTGTAGCCATATCATAAAATACAGGGTGTATCCTGACTGTTGCTCAGTGACCACTGCAGTCTCCTGTAAAGCTGATATAAACGAGGGGAGAAAATGGATGGATGGGTAGAATATTTAATCAGAGATTTAAAATTGTATGCTATTTATCAAAAGCAGTTATTCTAATTCAAATCCTTAAAGATTTGCCTCATATTTCTTCAAACTGAGAAGTAAGGTTG